GTATAGAAACATCACTGATTTTTGTATGTTAATTTTGTATCCTGCAAATTTAACTTGTTTCAAACATTGAAAGAATACCAATTGTCTTAAACTCTTGCAGAAAACAGAAGAGAAGGAACACTTCCAAACTCATTTTATGAGGCCAGTATCACCCTGATACCAAAGCCAGAAAAAGGCACACAAAAAAAGAAAACTATAGGCCAATATCCCTGATAAAAAGAGATGCTAAAATGCTCAATAAAGTGCTACCAAACCAAATTCCACAGCACATTAAAGAGATTATACACCATGATCAAGTGGTATTTATCCTTGGGATGCAAGTGTGATTCAACATATGAAAAATTATCAATGTAACACACCACATTAACGGAATGAAACTCAAAAACCATACTTGTTTATCTCAATGGATGCAGAAAAAGCATTTGACAAAATTCAACATCAACTCATGATAAAAACTCTCAGCAAAATAGGTATAGAAGGAACTTACTTCAATACAATAAAGGCCATATATGAAAAGCCCACAGCTAACATCATAATTAATGGAGCAAAATTGAAAGCTTTTCCTCTAAGATCAGGAACAAGGCAAGGAGGCCCCTCTAACCACTTCTATTCAACATAATACTGGAAGTCCTAGTCAGAGAAATTAGTTAAGAAAAAAAAAATGAAAAGCCTCCAAATCAGAAGTGAAAAAGTAGAAATATTTCTATCTACAGATGACACAACTATATGTGTAGAAAATTTTGCTAAAGACTCAGCAAAAAAACTGGTAGAACTGATTCTAGTACTCTGACCTGGTAGCTCTAGCTCTATTTCTCCCTCAGCTCTAGCTCTACCTCTGCTCAGTTTTGAGTCAACTTCTCCCTCCAATCTGATCCTCACTTACCAAAGTTTCATTCAGACATTCATGAAGACATACTTACTGAGAAAAAATAATCCCTGTGGTTTGGGGAAATTATCCTTACCTCCACTGCAATTTGTAAAATCTTAAAACTCAACAATTAGATTTTCACATTTATAACCTGATCTCTATTTTTGATCTTTCTGAATTTTGTCATCCCCCTACCAAAGTGAATGAGTTCAAGGCAAAGGTAAAAGAAGACCAACTTTCATATCATGTAAACAAAAGAGAAAATAGATACAACTATGTTAAAATGACATGCATACATTTTAGTTTATCCTCTCAGTTACTTTTTAAAAACTGGATTTTTTTCAATAGGTTTAAAATTTTGATTTTTGTGGGTAGTATTCTGAAAGTACTTTCAGTTTAGTGAAATTGGATTAATTCAATATGGGGAAGATAAAACCCATGATAGTTTTCAAAGGTAAAGTTCAAAAAGGAAATTCAAAGTCAAATGTGTACCTTATCTTAAATGTGACAACGTTCTTTCGTACCATTTATTTCTGTATGGAGTTATAAGTCAAAATTTAAAAATATTGAAATGCCTATGAATAGAGATTTTTAACTTTTGTTTTTAAGTGCTAAGTGATATTTTCCATGAACCTGACTTGGAATATCCAAAATACTTTCATCTTGAGATCTCTTCAAATTATGCAAATTATTTTATTCCCTTATTTAATAAATATTCACTAAGAGCCTATTGTGCTCCAGGCACTATTTTGGCCCCTGGAGATACAGTTTATGAGCAACATCAATAAAGTTCCTATCCCTGTGAAACTTATTTCTGGTGAAAGAGACAAAACACAACCACAAAAGCAAAGCATTTTGATATAGTCTGAATGTTTACATTTCCCCCAAATTCATATGTTGAAATCCTTACCCACCAAGGTGATGGTATTAGGAGGTGAGGACTTGGGGAGGTCATTGGGTCATGGGGTGAAGCCCTCCTGTTAGGAATTAGTGTCCTTATAAAAGAGACTGAGAGTGACCCTTCACCACTTCCACAATGTGAGGTTAGAGTGAAAAGATGGCTAGCTATGAGGAAGTGAGCCCTCAATGGACACCAGTTTGCTGATGCCTTGATCTTGGACTTCCCAGCCTCCAGAACTGTGAAAAATAAATTTCTGCTATTATAAAGCCACCCAATTTAGGGCATTTTGTTATAGCAACTGGAAAGACTAATACACATACATGGTGCAATGTCAGGGAGTGATAATTGCTATGAAGAAAATAATAATGTAAAGTCAGGGCAGAGAGAGTGGTTCCAGTGGTAACACTTTAGGCAAGGTGGTTAGTGACTGCCTTTTGAGGAGGTGACTGCTGGCCAGAGACCTGAATGAAGAGAGTGAGGAAGTTCTTTGAATATCTGAGGAAAGAACAAACTCCAAATGTGTTTTATGATTACTGAAGAACCCAGATCTAAAGCCCCAGCTTGTGAAATAATGAGCAGTAGAAAAGTAGACCTATCATTTTTGTAAAGATAAAAATCAACTTCCTGTTATGGCATGACAAGTCATGGGACTTGAAAATCACATAGACATAAACACTCACTTATATGGATCTGTGCCAGGGAAATGTACAAATCCTTACCAAGCATATTACACACATGGATAAGAGCTAAGCTATCAACAAGCTGTTAACAAAAGAGAGAAATATTCCTAGGTCATAAATTATGAAAAAAAAAATCCTCAGGGTTTTGACTGGATTCAGACCATCTGCAAAATTGAAAATTTACTGGGAGAAAATTTAGATAGTTAAACATAAAACAATGAAAGGAAGTCTCAGCCTGTATCCCAGCCCTGAAATGGAATGAGCTCTGTTTCTGCACAGAGGCAATTAAGACAAAGACAGTTAAGCATTCCACTCATTTTGGTTTGTTGTTTGAGGGAAAATGCTGTCTATGTAACTATGAAATTATAAACATCTTTGAAACTATGATTTATTGAAATCAGGTAGCTTTTAATAAAACAAAATGTATATTTAAAAATACATACAGTAGTTGAAGAATCTCACTCAATGTTTTTAGAAGAGTAAAGTGGTTAGTTAGTATTTCAGTATACTTTCATCTAGATTATATTTTTTCAGAAATAACATCTTCTTTTAATTTTCTACTTTTGCAAACTTTGTTAACGATATTGAAAAGTAAAGTTAACCATTGAAATGTGAGCTCTTTTTGTCTTTCCTAAGCAATAATATGAGTATTTATTTACTGGATTACTGGGAAATAAACTTCAGCAAGAATGTTATAGAGGTGAGTCTTTATATTTGCTCAGTGAATTCTCTAAATTTTTTATGATGTTCTATTATTCTTTTAGATTGTCTATCTTTTAATAGAATTTTTTAATGAATTTGAATTTAACTTATATCCATAAAAATTGAGAAGATGAGCAGAAACTGTTAAGATTAATGCAAGAGTTATGCAAGAGTTCATGCTAGAGTCACTCAAAGATTGAGGAAACCAGATCATGGGATGTAGTTTAGTGCAGTTATTAACAGAGTTTGGCACAGTTAGTAACAGTCTGGCATTGCTATTCCCACTTTCAATGGCTCCCAGTGCTCAGAGCGTCCAGTCTAAACTAGAAAAGCTCATAGACAGACTTGAAACTTTAACTAATCTATAACTCTCCAAAAGTTTCATGTAACTCTTTCCTATATTAGTTCTCATACTTCTCCATGAAAAACAAATTTCTGTGATCATTGTACCCTTTCCCATAGCACCTAACATTATTTTGTAATGAAAAGTTTTGCATTTATGTTTCCCCTACTTGATCTTAAATAGATTCCTTCAGTGTAGGAACTGTTTTTTTATATTTAAATACCAATTTAGAAATACCAAAAAATTACGTATAAATTATGCGTGGATATTTATGAAATGAATTAAGAAAT